AACTAGATTATCCATTTATTTATTTATTGAATAATGTATGCCAATCGTTTTAAATAAAAAAATACTTTTTTCGGCAGTTTTGCTGTTTTGTTCCAGCAGCTTGTCGGGATACTTCAAGACTTCTAAAATGGGGACGTATAAATGGATTACATAAATACACTTACATCAGCTTGTTCACACTGTACTCCTCGCTGTGTTCTACTAAGTTCTTATTTTTAGTCCCTATGCATAATGCGTCGGTCGAAGCCGCTGCCGTTATCTGTCGAATGTTTCGAAACTTCACTTATCCAATTGATACCTTAATGATTGTCGACGTAAGCAAGGTGGTAAGCACACACCCTCAGCATACAGATGTCGATGTGTTTCTCTAGGTCAGCCATCACCCTCCTGTTGCGGCGTTTCATTGCGAAAGCGATCTCTGGTACACCTGGTTCGACTTCTCGATCTCTACAAAATTCCGCGGACGCTATCTGCAAATAAAAGTGAATGGTGTGTGTCACCTGGTCTTCCGAAAGACTGGCTATCACTACACGTGGACCAAGATTCCTCTCACCGTGCACAACATTATCGTTGGAAAACTGTGGATCGAAAATAGCGGTGAAATCGACATAACCAACCACAAAACTGGTGACAAATGTCATCTCACATTCAAACCCTATTCCTACTTTTCCAGCGACATTCCCCGACGGGTAGGTTCTCCCATGCATTTCGGTCAATTAAAAGCCATGCGATACTCCTTTCAACCGCTTATTCATTTTAAAGTACCTACTACTATTTTTCATCCCAATTTCAAATGTCGCCTATGAAGTTCTTGTAAATTTATGGTTCTTATTGCCAACAAGCAATTGTATTTCCTAATTTATCTTGGAGGTTTATAAGCACTCACACGTGTTTAAAATTGTCCTTTTCAGGTAACGGGAGCAGTGAGCGATAAATCAGGCAAAGTTCACGGTATTATTAATGGCACATGGGATGAATTCATCGAGTACGCACCAGTGGTGACCGATAAACTCTCCACTGGTGGTGAAAAGCCCGTTCTGGAGACCGGGCCACCAGTTCAACTGTGGCGCGTGTCGCCTCTGCCACCAGAGGCCGACAAAATGTACAATTTTACCCAATTTGCCATTCAATTGAACGACAAGCCGAATAATGAGCCCAACCTTTGTCCCACGGACAGTCGACTTCGTCCGGATCAGCGCCTTATGGAGGAAGGGTTTTGGGACGAAGCCAATGTTGAGAAGGTTCGCTTGGAGGAGAAGCAGCGTCTTCGCCGACGGCAGATGGCGCTAATGCTGATCAACAGGGAATCCTCGAGTGACGGTGCCTCCTCCACCGTGGCTGGTAGCATATCCAGTGCCGTCCCTGCCTCACTAATGGGTACAGCCAGCGCCTTCATCCTAGTTAAACTTAAGAGTCGTTATTCTATAAAGTGCTTCCTAAATTGGGCGTGGTGCATCTTCCTTGGTATTAAATGATTCGTGAGTCTTCTTGTACGAATATTTCTATCATAGATACCCTCGACGAAGCGCACAAGCCACTCTGGTTTGAGAAGGAAGTCGACCCTGACACCGGACTGGAAACTATGAAGTTCACCGGTCGATACTGGGAAATCAAGGCAAAAAACGACTGGTCCATGTGTCCTGACCTCTTCTAGGCTAATTTTATCATTACTACAATACCCTGTGTAGAATTTATAAATCAGTCCCCATCTTTTAGATCAAACATTTCTGCATTATTGTCTTAATATCTACCGCTTGCTTTATTTCAATATTTTCGATGGAATTCCATGTGTCATATCGTAACAATAACGAAATGACGTGATCCATTCAATAAGATGAAATATGCAGTCCCAAATTTTGGGCTGACAAGAAAAGGTTCAAAGATCATTTAGTTGTCATAGGAATTAGGTTTCAATATAGTCAAGGTTGTCAGGTATGTGAAACTGTTTGACTAGAGCAGCATCGTCCACACCGAATCTATTCTTTATCCAACCGATAATCTGGAAGATGTTGTCTGAAGGGTACACGAGGTGAGATAAGAGACTCGCTTTACCAGTCCATCGATTAGCGCATTCGATAGCAGTTTCTGTCTGGGAACTCAGCTCACGAATGCGGTTGGGATGGTGCTGCTTCAGATGGGTCAGGTTGCTTTTAAGTTCTTCCAGCAGCGACTGATTCTCACTGAGCGCGGACAGCGCTTCCTCTCGTTCCACCTGGAAAAAGTCATTACACAATGGTGGCTACCGTCTTCTCCTTATTTGCACGAGCCATCTCAAGCGTTTGTTCCAAATCAACAAGACGAGATTTCAAATCAGATATCTCGGATTCCAACGCGCCAATTTTTTCACGCCGCTTAAAAAAGTGGGCATGAGTAATCGAGCATACGAACACTTTGACCCGCCTTGCTGGGAAAAGCCCAGAAATAAATAGAAGTGCCAATTTTATCAGAATCAACCAAACCGTCTGAAACAAGACCCATGAGAATGTCTTTAACTGTCATGGATGGTATGCCTTTCTCTTTGTGGGAGACCCTTTCCAACTCCTTAAGAGTGAAAAAATCATTCTGGAAGTCTAACTAGGACCAATTACAAATTAACCTTCTCATAGAAGAGTTCCATCATTTTCATACGCTTCTCCTCCACGGAAAGACCACGCCTCCTCGACATCAGAGCAATGTTGCCAGAGTACCCAATGATGGAACACCTCGAAACATTAAAACAAACCAGAGGATGACTAGGGAATTAAAAGTACATTGTTAAACTACCAATGCATATTCAAAAATTAAAAAAATTATCAAAAAAACAAAATAACTTTATGTTTAAAAAAT